TTCTCCTCTGCAGATACAAATATACCCCAATATGTTTAAAAACTAGTTATCTCTGTGTGGTGAGATAACAGATGACTTTTCTTTTTTTCCTTTATAATGTTTTGGTACTGTCTGAATTTTTTCAATATATAATAAGCCTGTGTTATAATCAAGGGGAAAAAAGTTGTTTTCATTTTGATAAAGTCACTACCTTAGCCTTAAGAACACTACATCTGTGGCTTTGCTTTTAAAATGAAGAGTCAGAAATAAAACTAGAATAAATGAAATTGTTCACTTTTAAGAGGGAAAAAAAACCCTACTAAAAATAAGCAGTAACCCCTCATTCCAGAGATGCATTTATTTGGGTGACTTTTTATGAGTGCAGCTTCCATATTGACGTCTTTCTAGCTAGAAGTTATGATTTTTTTCCTTGGATAGATGACGGAGGAGGATAAATGGTGAGCAGAGGGTCTCAGAAGGGCCTGTGATGGGATCACAGACATCAGAGGTCCAAAAGACACCTTGAGGTCATGAAAGAGATCCTCCACAGATCTGATATACCTTCTCGCCCTCCAACACACACACACACACACACACACACACACACACACACCTTTATCAACAGACTGGAGCCCTCATTAACTCCTCCCTGCACCGAGTCCACCATGCTCCTCATTCCCAGCTTGACCCCCTTCATCACCACCTTCCTTTGCTATCTTTCCTGCTTGGCTTCTTTCTTCTCCTGACCTGAACAAACCTGTTATTCATCCTCCCATTCATGAGATAAAACTAATTCCTTGCTTTAAAACAGAACAATTAGAAACACAGTGTGGAGATGATAAGTCTATAAAGCCCCAAATACTTTTTAAACTGAAGTATTTTTAAGAGGTTGAGAATATTTTCAAAAACACTCTCATGAAGGTCAAAACACAGAACTCTGCAATGGCCCACGGAAGTGCATTTGCTGAATCAGATCTAAGCCGAAGCCAATCATTTGTTATAAAAAAGAAAAGGACACAAATGTATACCTATGCATGGAAAAAGGTCTGAAAGTGTATGCAACATAATAGTAATAGTAGTTTCATCTGGGCTACTGGGGGGAGTGTTAACTTCCTTTCCTATAAAGTTGTATTTTCTAACTGTTCTATAATTTATACATATTACTGACATAATAAAAAAATTAAATACATGAATTGAATATAAGCCCGAAGAGAAAAGAAGGGGAAAGACAAAAAGCTAGGGAGGGGAAAGTAGCAGAGGGAAGCGGAGTGAAGGTAAAGAAACCGCTGAATTAGTCCACGTTGAGAGGTACAGGGGAGACAGCTCTAAATCACAGTCCCCATCTTTATCCTGCAAACCCGGGAGAGTCCCCTCCTTTGTTCTGGTAAGTATGGCTAACAGACTCTAGCCAAGTCCAACACAGTTGAAATGCATAAATGTAACCATACAAAAGAAGAAATTAACAGCTTCATCCTGGGAGTGGAGGAGTACCCTCAGGAATGCTGGTATTCCCAGAGCTCCTTCTCTCCGCCTTTGTGTTTGCATCACAAGCTCCAGGAGCCCCTGAAAAGCAAGCTATCCATTTTCAAGAAGTAAATCTCTTGGACGAATACCTTTTTTCACTAGCTGGAGAGGAAAGGTGCTGGGCTGTGGATTGGAACTCCAGCTATCTCTTCTGGCACAGGTTCTCAGGGATGAGACCATGTCTAGTGGGGATTTTCTCCAGATTCGACAGCCTTGGCCCTACCAAAACATGCAGCTTTGTTTTCACCATACATCACTCAACCTGAGTCTTTCGTTTCTCCTTTCAAGCATCCACAGGTCAAATACTGTGTGTTCCCAATGGTCTGAACTTCTTGGACCAGCAAAGGGACATTCATTTTGCTCAGCACTCCTTTCACATTTCTATTGTGTTCGATTTCCCACTCCCCCTACCCAAGTCCCCAGAGAATAACTTCCTCCTTGTTTTAATAACCTGGACCGCAGTCAAGGTTGATGTGTTTCTCCATTTTGCAGGATATTTTCTTCAGAAGAGACAAAACAGAGGCTGACAGAATAGCCGGGCTTGGGAGCAGCGTTAGGAAATCAGCAGGCGTTAGGAACACACAGAAAATGATTCTAAAGAAATACAAAGCAGACAGCAATGCGAGGCACCGTACACAGAATTATTCATAAAGGTGGACTAGCGCTTAGAAAGATTCCCCTGCAATTTTTTCTCCCAATGACCCACTTAGAAAATATAATTTCATTTGTTTGTAAGGAAAAGGGTCAGAGTTAAGAAAGTGGCTTCATAAAGTACCTTCTCTTTGACTTAAATTGAAACACAATATTCTCCCATTTGAGCTCATAAAAGTAGCTCTGATCCCTATGGGCACGCAGAGATTAGAAAATGAGTAAAGGGAGGAGGAGAGAGGAGTAAATCAGTGGTAAGATTCCCTCCTCGCCACCCTGTTTCATGTTTTCATCTCGTCTTGCCCATGTCCCCCCTACAATCCTATCCCCAGCCAGTATAATAACACTGCTCCCCGACATCTAACGAAAGATGTCTCTGTGGACTTGCTTAAGCAAGGAAACAAGCTCATTCTTTTTTTAAAAAGTAAAATTCTCAAGGAAAGACGACGTGAACAAATATTTAGTGGGCGTTAGTGGGAGGCACATGATCTTTTAATAAAAACGTTATAATGCCTCTTTTTTATGAGTGATTTAGAAACTATATACTTTTTCTCCAAAACATGACTCAAACCTCCAGTATTCATGTTACAGATCTACCTTGTCACCATGATTTTTCTTACTACTGATTTCAGATAGTGTCCAGACACTAGTAACAGATAAATGCAAAAACACAGTTATTTCTCTTTGTCTTTCTTCATGGAATATCTTTCCGCAAATGTATTTTCCGTATTAACAGCATTTTCATACCATGGCAAAGGAAAGCAAATTTGGTACAGAGAATAAAGATACCTACCCAGATTATGTACCCCCTGGGGAAAAAGCACTTTCTACTGGGATATCAGCTTCAATTGAATCCAGTTCTCAGCTGTTCATGGGCTTGGAGGAAAGAGCTAAGGAGTTGCTATTTTTAAGGCTAAGAGGAGCAAACTGTGGGTCATGATGTATTAGTGAGCTGTAAAATCAATCTACACATCTCAACCAGCATTTTTTTAAATGATATGGAATAAAGTAGAAAACATCAGTATGCACAGCGTGTAGTAAGTATTGTTTTGTGAAAACTTCTATGTGTGTGGGAACATCTGATCTCAGTGTAAAAGGTACTTCTAACTGTGGTCGCAGTCTAAAAAGTTTAAGAAACTCTAATCTAGGGCCCAGATACTGGTGTCAGACAGAAGTGGGTTCCAACGTGGCTCTGACCCTTACTTGCTAAGTGAACTTGGTTAGGTGGCTTAACCTCTCAAGCCTCCTCATGTGAAAGATGGGTGTGAACATAATACCCTAGGATTGTCATGAGATCAAAAGAGGAGAGGTATATAAAGCCCTTCACACCCTGCCCAATAATGTCAACATCCATCTTCAGGTAAATGTTCAGCTTGCACTCAGAAGCAAACATTTAGTTGACTTACAAAAGAGATAAAAACACAGTATGAGAGAAGATATTAGGAAATTAGACAATTGTGATGTTTTGCTCTCCAAAGAGTTACTCTTCTATAGGACTATCTACTGGAGGAGTCCTTGATGCTTTTTATACAACTTTCTGAATTAAGTATTCAAGAAATACATTTTAATTTCAGGAATCCTTTTCCAAAATGTAAGCACCAGATCAAGGAAAACACTTCTAGTGTTTGTTTCTTACACAGGATTGAACAAAACAAATTATTTGCATTTTGTGCTTCATCTTTATAATATAGCTTCTGACTCCCTAGCAAGTGACTAACATCATGTGTCTAAAGATCTTAAAAGGTACCAAAATTATCTCACCTATGGAAAGACCCAGATTCAAATACATGCCAAGATTCCTTATACGTAATTTTTGTAATTAAGCAAATAAACTAACCCTGTACTCCAGCATGAAGAAATTGAAAAAACTGAAAACACACTGCTCACTTCACAATCATGTTCTATCTATTCTTGGCATGTAGTTTGGGGAGAGTTACTGAATTCTGATTACAGTAGAGAGAAGAAAAGCAAGGGATCCAGAAAGAAAGGCTGGGACCACGAAACATAGGACAAGTTTTGAGTAGGTGTAAAGATACAGTCCTAAAACTGTCAGCAGCCCCTTGGATGGAAGTGGGGAGAGAAAAAAATCCAAGTCCATAGCAGGCTTTTTTACTTTTGGGTCTAGAGAGACAAAGTGGAGATTTGGTTAAAATAGAAAAATTGGGGGCTGGGGGTGGAAAGAAGGATCTAATAGTGAGTCTTAGAAAATGAAAAACAACTTCACTAATCACTGAAGGATGATCCAACAAACAGGACTGAACCAACAAAAGAAGGATGAGAAGAGGAAGGCTGGTTTTGGTGTTTAAGCAGAGAAAATAAAATCAAAAGAAACAGTTACAGAAAGGTCCTAGGGTGCAGGCTATAAGGCTGGGGAAAACACAGATGTTTAGGAATTTTAAAAAGTCTTTGCAGAAAGTCTGGCCATAGACTTGGGGTAAAAATTAAGTTCTCCCTGAGAGATTTAAAGGTAAATAGAGAAAAGGCAAGTTAAGTATGGCTGAAAGATTTAACCGATCTAACAGGAATATGTGTAATGCCACAAATTTCATATCTTTTTGAAACGTTCACCAGGAAATGAGCAGGGTTGCTACAGCATCATTTTTTAAATTTTTTTTCAGGAGTATGTTGATGAGAAATGTCACCACCTCCATTTTTACCCACAGTATATCTACAATAAATAAGAAGAGGCAGAGAGAGACAAAAGGGAAAAAATGAATAGATTCTTCCCATCCCTGTGCACCAACTGCTACCCTGATTACCCATCATCGGTCCTAACTCCTGCATCACCCCAGGTGCCAGTCAACAAGGCCTATGTCATTTGCTTTGCCATCATCGCATTGTCCACTCACTTGCTCTGCCCTTCTGTCCATTTCACTGAGCTGGAGCTCCCAGCAGCAACTCTAGAAGAGAAGAAGAGGTGGGGAATGGGGACTGGAGCATGCGTGGCTCTAGCAAGCCCCCCAGATCCCACAGTCCAATGAGAAGCCACTAAACACACAGAGATGTAAAGCCGGCTGTCTAGTCAAGAGTGCTGAACTGAGGACTCGATCCCACTGGGGCTGATAGAGTGGGGGTGTGGAAGGCATCACAGGGAGGCTGGAAAGAGCCTTTGCTTTGGAATCAGATCTGGACTTGGAATCCCAGCTCTACCACACAGTACGATGTGAACTTGGGAAGTTACTTAATTCTCTGAGCTTGACTGACTTATTTGGAAAACAGGATAACAGTACCTAGGCATCATGATGCCATCAGGAAGATTAGATGAGGTGACCTAGACGAGTACCTGATACACCACAGATGCTTCGTGACTGTCACATCCTACTGCCCACCAACTCAGATTCGAAACTAAAAGTGAGTTCTTTTACCGTTTAAAGCAAGTCCCACCTGCTTTGTTTTTTCAGTTCCAGGTGCAAAGCATTGCCCCTACCTATGTTTGATTGCTATGTTCTCCCTATTCTGGTTGTGTATCAAGTGTGATAAAAGTCTGTTCAGGCAACCAGGTGTGAACACATCTGACTTTGGATGGTCCAAATCATCTTCACTCATAGAAGTTTGGATCCTGGACTTTGTAAACTCAAAGCATTTCTTGATAAGATAATGTAATGATTAACCTCTGTGATATCACTAGCAAAACACAAACATTAAACAAGTTTGAATGGACAAAAGTTCGAAGAACTCTAAAACATTCAATAAGGAAAGGCCATATTAAATTTCCCCAGTATTCTCAACCCCCTTGTTCTAGACAAGAACATCCCCTATTCATATTCCTAAAAATTTAATACTGAACACCACTGACCAACTGGGAGAGGGGGGAAAGCATCTTAATTTTACAGCCATGCCTATTCTTCTAAAACAGTACTCTCTTCATATGGTATAAGGACCTTTAAAATGGTTCAAACAAGTGTAAGTTACTGTTTAAGGGAAATGGAGCAGAGAAGACCTTACCCCTTTAATGTGGCTCCTAAGTTCATCTGATTCCAGGTCATGCATTCAAGTTGGGAGGTCATTTGGTATAAATTGTCACTGTTAGAGAAAAACAACCAGAGTTAGAAATGCATAAAACAAAAGACACATATATATGCAACTGTTTCTCCAAAAAGCAATACACTTTTAACTTTTCTTTACAATGAAAGCCTCCACATTTTCCAGAATGTCAGAATACAGGAGTCTGAAATGATTTTCATTTCATCCCACTGATCTCTGCACGTCATTCACTTCACACACAGCAGAAAGGATGTGAGAATAATTTGGAAGCCTTTAAAAAACCTTAGTAGAGCAAACACTGAAGTTTCTAAAGAGGTATTAAACCTCTGAAGGGAAGAGGCTAAAGGGAGTGAAACTTTGAAAGGCAACACAGGCTGGATAGCTCAACATTAAAGTTAAAAGCCTGGAGCTGAAAGTAAAAAGACAGCAGATTAATTATTCGTGAAAAGGCCATTAAGTTGTTTTAATCAAAAGGATAAGTATCATGTGGATTATGAGGGCCTGAAAAGTCAAAGAGTGATGGGTGATGGATGGTCTAATACTCAAGGATGTGACAAGTGAAAGAAAGAGGATGATAAACTCTAGATACAACTGAAGGAATCATTCTCTATAAATTGTATAGTCACGCAGTGTTTTTTTAAAGCCCCCAACTCAGTTCTATATTATATGAGGGAAAACAATGGCTGATCATTTACATTAAGACTCCAAAGGAAAAATATCCCACCATATAAACCAACCAAAAGTTTTTCTCTCCCTTTAAACACATCTCTAAATGCATTATAGTGGAGCTATCACATCTATTTCCTGAAATAACACTCAACTCAAAGTATCCTGCATGCACGACTCATGAACATCTTTATTATATGCTTTTATGTTTATTAATTTTATATTTATCTCCTTCCTAAAAAACTAGCACATAACTCAATTACCAGAAATCTCCTAAGTAACCAAGCTCAACTAGGAATAAATGTAGTTCTGAACTGAAATGGTTAATTATGAAATTTGAGACCCAAGAGATTAATGGTTTGTCTGGGAACGCTTGGTCTAAACACATTACAGAAGAACATTTCCACTCCACCTTCATGGCAGAAGGGAAAGAAGGTAAGAAGCTTTCAGTATGTAATGTATGATACCAGATTGCAAATTCTGGACAATATCCACCTTGTCACGGC